GATTAGCATTTTGTTACAACCTCAGTAATTGGACTTCAAAAACAAACAAAACCACAAGGAGAACAATGATTTGTTCTCACCGTTCTGTGGGATGTTTGGAAGCTCGAGTAGCTCATCTCCCTTGGCGAGCTGGCCATTTGGGATGTGCTCTTCCCACAGCACTTACCAAGGTCCAAGAGGACAAACAAGAACACACAATCATTCTTTAAGGTCTAGGCTCTAAGCAGGTCGATGTACTCTTCAAAAGGTGCTATCCGGTCAAGGCCAAAATGGGAACGGCCTTCCACATAAGGTAAGGGCATGAGATGATGTAAATGCCAGGCGGCTAAAGAATTGCGGGTAGTCTTTCTTTCACGTAGAGGCATCCCGTCTCAGGGCAGAGTGGAAATGACAGCGACCTTAAATGCCGTGCGCACTGGATCCTCTCTCCCTAGGAGGAGTTGGCTGCATCTGTTGTCTTCTCTGGTTTCCTCTGGTTTATGATGATCCCGTGAGTCATCCCTTTATCAGCACGGGTGAGAAGGAGTACATTGTGTGCGCACTGGCAGATCAGGTACGTTGAGCGACTTCCCTGTCATTTCCTGCTATGTCTGCCTGCATGTCTGTGATGTAGCGTGCGTGCAGAGGACTCCTGTCTCCGATGGAGTAGACATTGATATATGCTTTCTTCCAGGATGCTTCGCCAGGCTGGTCTCTTCCCATCAAAGCTATGATGCAATCCTTACCACTTTGGGCCATTTTAGTCTTTTATTTCTGTCACAACTGGCCTTTTTATATCATGATGGCATACACCCCGACATACATCAACTCTGTACTTCAAGCTAGCCTCATAGATGTAAGTACAGAGAAAGCTCCATACGTTCTTCTGTTGCATGCGTACTTTTATGCAATACTCCATCTCTGTGACCCCCAAATCAGAAGACTGATCCTCAATGACCCTCATGTAACCAATGCAAAAGGGTTCGTTTCCATGGTTATTGATCTCCATGTGAGTTGGTGCTTATTGAGGTAGATTGATATGCTTCTAGATCATCTTGATATTCATTGAATGTCATATTTTTAAAAGATGTATGCAAAATGTTTCTATTGGATCATCCAATGTTGGCCAAACAAGGCATAAACAACCCATGCTTAAAATAAATCCTGACTTTGAAATGCCTGTGTTAGACAAGTTTAAAGAAGAGATGTTGAAAATAAAATACCCCAGAGAGGACACAAAACCTCAATTAGGATTTAAATGTGTGTACAACACTCCGCAATTTTACAAAATGAATGGATGCTCTGACTGCCTCAGTGGTTGTTCTCTGCATTTGAGTGAGCTCCAACTCACAAATACTTTATGTAACAGAAGGAGGCATTTATTACCCAATCCTGTGCTATCTTCCTGATAGATTTATGGCACAAAACTGGGAAAAGAGACACAAAAGTGACATTATAATATTTAATAGCGTGGTTCTTTGTCTTTCTGGGGGAAAAACGTCTCACCACCTTACAGTTTTATTTTGCTAAATGTTTATTTTGGTGTGATCTGTTGTAGCTTGCAGCACCATTGGGACTGTAGTCATGCCTCATTGGCATGATGTATACTTTGTGTTTCACATGAAATACATTTTCATGGAAGAAAAAAACACTATCTCTGCTACTGATTAGTCACACGGCTATGGAATCACTGTTACACTGAACAAAGTGTAACACTGAACAAAGAATCTCATTCTTTGTTCAAAGAGCAGATTTCTCAAACTGACTGGACTCCTTTAAGGAGAAGTGCTCAGTAGCCAACAGGAAGTGACCTGCCAGCGGTCAGAGCCTGTGGAGAAGAAGGCAGGGTCAGGATGGAAGTCCTGAGGTCAGAAAGATGCACTTGTGCACTTAAAAGGGATGGGGTTGGGAGGGCTTGTAGCAGACAGTGAAACCAGAAGCTCCAACAAGAGAATCAGGGCACAGGAGGTCCAGAGAGGTAGCCTGAGACTTGCCATTGGGAGTATTTTGATTCTACTGTGAGGGTTGGTGGAAGAATTTCCCATCATCAAAGCCAAGACGTAGGAAAATGAAGGTTGGGTATAAAAGGAAAGACAATTAAACGCTTTCCATCATTTGCATCCTACCAAACACCCGATGGTCTCTTTGTCCCTGAGACAAAAATGTGACTTGCATTTTCTTCAAAAGAATCTTAATTTGGGGTTTGAATTGCTAATCTAGCAACAGAGATCAACATTTTAAAAGCTATCTAAAAAGGTTTGGATTGAAATGTTTACAATTACTTTGTTCTCAGTCTATTTTAAGTTCAGAGCCCAACCAACTCATAACTATATTTTAAGTTAATGTCTTATCTACTTTTACATTCTTTATGAAAATGTTAGCATACATGAAAGCTCAATTTTATTTTCTCAACTCTTTTCCCACAAAACATTATATGCTGTGTGTGCTGATATACTTTCAATATTATTATTTTTCTACTTAACCTACCTTTGATATCTATCAGTAGATAAGAACCATTTTTACTGAGAAGTATTTGGTTTGTTTCTGTTATTTGGGGGGATC